CAAATAAATTTATTTAAAATATATATTTTAAATAAAGGAGAAATTAGAAAGTTATTGAGTATTTATTATTTTAAACAACTTCTTCTGACCTATTTCTTATTCGATATTTTAAATAAATTTTTGGAACTTATTTTATATTTTTTATTTCGAATAAATCATCATTTTCTTATCAATTTGATATTTTAAATAATTGAACAATTTTCTGAAATCTATTTTTTATTTAAAATAAAAACGCGAGCTATTTTGACATTTTAAATAAAAGTTATTATATATTTTAAATAAATAAAATGCATTCCAGAGTCCTATTTGGTTATTTCTTATTTTATATTTTTAATAATTTCTTGCGACCTATTTCTTATTTAATATTTTATATAAATTTTTGGAATCTATTTTATATTTATTATTTCGAATAAGTTCTATCACTCTTTTATCGACTCCTACGATTTTATATTTAAAATAAGTTTCTGGAACTTATTTTATATTTTATATTTTATATTTTAAATAGTTCGTATTAGTTATTTTACCGAGCCTTGTTATAATGTTAATATTATCATCCTAATTTGATTATCAATAGAGATGATAACTACAGAGAAAAAATTATAACTTTTCGGCAATATATAAGATATTATAGCATTAAAAATATGCGTACTTATTTATGCAACATTTGTATAATAAAAAAATGATGAATTTAATAATAAATTATCGAAATATTTATGTCGTATAATATCGTAGTAAATTTTTATTAATTCGGTAATGCCATCATTCTTCAATTATCCCCGAGTCCTCGGAGCCTCATTGATAGTCACGAAAATTTGTCCAAGGCCGACAGTCTTTAATAATATCTCGTCGGTGGTATTATAAGTATGTGATATAAAATTTATGTAAACTATGTTCCGATAAATGCCATTATATTTTGCTTTTGTATTAATTTATTAAAAATAATTATTATAAAATAATTACTTTAAATATACACGTATCTACAGACATTCGAATATAAGCGGGAATTGCTGCAAAATGGCGGACCAATCAAAATTGGCTGTTCAGTGGCGCAACTCTGATTAAAGAGTTTCTAGTGGCATCTATGTTCCTGACAATCTAAATCCGCCATTACTGTCTTGCTGAGCATGGTGCACCGTTGTTGCTAGTTTTGGCAAGTGGCAGTCATATACGATATAAAATGTTATCAAGGTTGGCTCTCCGCAATGGTAAATCAATTGCAATGATTCCTATTACATTTTTACAATAAATACACTCGATGAATAGGTGGTGACGGTTATTAATTACAAAGTTTTTAATTATGTAATAACATTTAGATTCGTTCACAATTCATTATTTTTTTTTCTTAATATATCTATCGTAAATTTTACTTATATATATTACATAGTTATGTAATATTTAAGCTTTATTCTTTAAAAATAGATTTTTAATCTGTTTTATGGATAATTGTTATACAAGCATAGCTTTCTTGAATATATGTTTTTTGACATTCTTTATTTTCTATACAATTGTCTTTTTAACTTTTTATCTTTCATATATGTGTACGAAAAATTGAATTTATATTTTATTATGTATTTTATTAAAGGAACATAATAATCATTTAAAATCTATATATATCTTTTAATTTTTTATGGTAATCATTTAGAATTGAGAAGAGAGAGTAAGGCATTGCTTATAATGCCGTTACTATTACTATTCCTTTTTTTCAATAATGATTGTTGCTTTTTTCTGTTTGTAATGGTAAATATACCCATTACTCTAATCTCTTATTATGTTTATATCTATTCGATAGATTTTTAATTGTGTATGGCCAAAAATATTTTATTTAAATAGAAATTTTAATGTTGAAAAATATTTTTGTATTTTTATATCTTACAATTAGTATTCCAATAGTCATTGCCAATGTTGAAAATCTGTAGTATGTATACTTATATGTAACCAGAACCAGTGATCTGTATGTGAAATAATAGAGTATTTCATACATGTGAATTTGGCATGTATGGAATTTTCACACATATTTAAACATATCAAGTTATTAATTTTTAACAAGTAATTTATTGGATTTTTTTATTAGCGATATCTCAATGAACAATGTTGATTAAGATTGCTCTGATTGATTCTTGATGAAATCTCCTTTTTTTTGGTTGTCATAATTAATTTTTTAAGGAAGAACTGAAATGATAGATTTAGAAAAGAGATTTTTACTTTATGAATAAAGTAAAAATAATATTCGACGAACACACATTCATAAATAAATAATTGAAGAAAAATAAAAAATATATGTGTATTGTATTTGATCACTCTATCACAAGAAATATTTACTTCGCTGGTCTTGTATGTGAATTATAAATTTTCAATATTGGCAATGAATATTATAATCTTAATATTAAATTTTAAAAACAGCGTTCAATAACAATTTTTAATAAAATCTGTGGGATTGTGAATTACAAAATCTAAATTCTTAAAAATAAGTATATATTAAAAAATAAAAATATTAATGTA